GAACAATCAAATCCATTGTTTAGAAGTGTCAAAAATGTGTCTAATTTGGAGTTCGAATAATTTGTTTTGTCAAATTTTTGTTTTTGCCCACATTTTTGTTTATAACTTTACAATCACACTACATAGACAAATATTGCGAAGACAAAAATAAAGAGAAAAATTTGACAAACGAAAATTCCCTTTGACGCAATGTGATCCGATGTACGGTTTACGTTCTACAGGCGTTCAAATTTTGCCCTTCTAGAGGCGGTTGTATGCATTAGAGGGTTAATAAAAAGGAATTTGTCAACTTGAAAAAAAAAAACAATCAATTTGTTTTTTGAACTCGGGTTTCCAAAATACGTTTTTTGACCAAGATTTGAGGTGTTCCATTTTATAGCGGTTTTTCGATCGCCGATTACTCAAAAAAATTGTTTCTTCATGAAAAAAGTAAAAACGCTACATTAAACTACATAAAATCTACAATTGAAAACGCCCAACCCGAAGTCATCACGGCACATCTCCCAAGATTTGACTATCCATCTGAATAAACTCAGAAGACCCTAGACCAAAAGGACATAAAATGGGTCGACTTTTTTTCAATGGATCCTGCATTTTTGTTATCAAAATTAATTTATCAATTTGTTAATTTCATTGAAGGCAACGGTAATTTTATTGATTGTTTTATTAAATGCATTTCTAATTTCTTTCTCGATTTTTTTTTTGTTTTCTTGAAGTTTTATTCGTTTTAACATTCAATTGAAGATCCGTAGTGAACGAACTATCAATTTCCACTAGGAGCTTAATTTTCAATGTTTTTGAACATGTACGGAGCGCTCCATATATAATAGAATATTTATTTATTAAATCATTTATTTACACAAGTACTTTCTGAATAAAGTAGTTTGACCGGAAAAGAGTGCAAGACCTGTTACAATAATATTCAATTCAATATGAAAACGACTCCTATCGATCATCATGCGTATTCTATGACGTCTGTTTGGAAATTTGAACTTAGCTCCATCTATCTTGAACTTTTTCCTGCTCTGAAAAAGCCATCCTTGAAGTCTTTTCTGAACTTAATGTATATCATTTTTATTTTCTTCGAATATTTGTAATATAGAACAGCAACTGAAAAGAAATGAACATATTACCGGTTGATTGGATGAAAAATTGAATGTTTCGATTGAATTTCAACTGTGAATAATAATAAGCAGCAGTTGATGAAAACCACATAAAATGTTGTAATTTTGAAAATAAAAATCCGCTCTATAGAAGTAGAAAAGAGAAAACGATAGAGTGTTTGCACGCCTATCAAATATACGATGCAACGAAATGTGTTCATCAAAATTTTCTTGGTGTTGCACTAAATTTAGTCAATTCAGGTTTTCTATCTATGCATAGAAAATACAAACGAGTATCTAAATGAGATCACTTTATGGGCTCGGTTCGGTGCAGAACATCAAATGTACATAAGAAGGGGGAAAAAACAACGCAGAGACTACCAAGTAAAGTAGGCATTCGAAATATCTACGATTGTTTTTTATCCATATGGAGTAGAAAGTGCGAGATCACAAACTGAAAAACATTCCTTCAATTAGTTTCTCGTGAACTCGATCGGTTGAACATAGGTTGTGGTTTCAAACCAGGAGCATACAATTGGAGGCAAACAAAACAATTTAGTTCAGAATATTGAAAAAACAGATATTTAAAAAATGGACCAAAGAAAGGAGTGAGTTTCTGCGAGCAAGTATAGAGTGTATTTGTCGGCAGATGCTTCATAATTGTCACGAATACAAAATAAATTATATGATATCATCAAGTCTTTTGAAGAAAAGAAAAGACTTTGATGAATCATCATATTTAAAATGAATACGCGTGAGAATAGAAACAAAATTGGATACTGTTCATTCCAAGAAGGAAACGGCTTGAGGAAAAAAACAGAGAGTGAAGAAAGAAATTATACGCGAAAAGATAAAAGAGAAGTCAGAAAAACAATGACTTTGTTTTTGTGAGAAAAAAAAGCATCACATCATATCCTAAGTTAAATAGAGCGATCTCATTTGAGTTCATGATAAAGGTGAATAAACGATGACTATGATGACAAATCTACAAGCGACACGAAATACGGTTCATTTCAGAACAATTCCAAGAAAACAAACCTCGGGAAAAAAAATAGTAGAAGAAAAGCAGACAGTGCGTTTTTCATCTCCTGCTTGTCGATTTTCTTGGTGTGCGTGTGTTTTATTCTTCCATTCATTCTGAAAATGTATAAAATCATTGTGAAATTTAACGTTGATGTATTAATAGATGACTGCTAAGAAGAGAGGAAGCCCAACATATGAAATATGTGTGTTTTCATCGAATGAAATGATCGGTTTCGCTTCAGTGTTCTCGATATAAAAGATTAATCATTGTCATAGAATGAACTACTACAACCAACCAACCAACCGACCAAACAGAAAAAAAATCAAATGCGCGAGAAAAACGAATTTTCATGAGTCTGTGTGGTTTTATGTAGTAAAGTGTAACTAGTTTATATACTTCGGTTTTCTATTTCAGCCAAACAGTTGCCAATGAGTACACAGCGCACATTTGTAATGCGCTTCCGCACGAATAACGATTTTATTCTTAGTGAACATATCAAGCAAAGAACACGCACGATCTTGTGCCGCTGTTGAACCATTTAAATTTTTATTTTGCAAACGATCAGTGAAATTTCTCAAGAAGTTTGAAGGTCTGAAAACAATACATTACGCCAAGTGATTGAATGAAATCTCAATTAATTTCGAATATAAGTAATAGAAAGAAAACAACACACAACCAAAGTACCGACGAAATAATTTTATTTATTATTTCCAACAATGTCTTATTGTCGAATAACCGGCAGAGCTCGCGGACTACCAAAGTCAAATTATTTTCCCTTACTACCGCCAATTTCTCCAGCTGATGCTCGTCGATTTTGTCGTATTACTGGAAGGGCTTACGGATTACCCACACACTGCTATATACCAGTGATTTTGACCGCATTTTCCAATAAATCAAAGTGTAAAATCACCAGCTCCGTTGGCCTTACACCACATCATTATGAACCGGAGGATTATGAGTATGGACGACGAAAGCATATTGTGCTTGGCGATTATCGATATTTGTTACCAAAACTGGACGAAAACAATGATCAGCAAAAGGGTCTCTTCGAAATATTAAACTCAAAAACAGTGCAATGTGATGAACATTATTTTATCTATGCCATAAAAGAGCAAAAGTGTAATTTGGTATTCCCAGCAAAGCTGGAGGCGGCTGTACGGGATGGTGATGTGCGAGATGTGATGTTTGCCAAAACAAATGACTCGGTACTTTTGTGCATGAATAAAGGGAAAAGTGTGTCATTGGATCTGCAAGATTACGAAATTGATAGTGAGAATTGTGCGGCTAAAAGAAACTTATTCGAAGGAGAAGGCCCAACTTATAATGTACTATTGGCTCGTGAAACCGAAGAGAAATACCAGCACCAAGTGCGAACCAAGCGTAAAAAGAATGGTCTACGGAAAATTAAAACCATTGATGGCAGTGCTTGTACAACCGCTGATAATAATTCACCCGGTAATAATAATGAACAAAATGGAAATCTTGCTAATGATGCCCAAATGGATACTAAAAGCGAGCATGCCAATTGCAACGGATGCGAATCAGAAACGCAACACCCGGTCAACGAAATGAACGATACTGTGCAAAAGTATGCAGATCAAAACGGTTACAGTCAAAAAAGTTTAGAATTGAACGATACAAATCTGTATGAATCGATTCCGAATCAAAGTGAAATCTTGAAAATAATGCAAAATTATTCGAAAGGAACAGTTGTTTATGATCATCCATCATCCATTTCGGGATTACCTACGTTGAATATTAATATTGGCACCGATGAAGCGCCTAGAAATGTGCTAATTCTCGGCTGTATCGTAAACACATCGGATGGCGATGTCTTTGTAGCAGGTAGAACCGTTGTAACTGAGAACGCGTCTACAATTTTCGAACCTGGAATATATCTACAAAGCAAAAACGGACCAGCTTTTATCCCTGGACAGATAATCCAGTGTGAAGAAGGTGAAAAATGGATATTATGAAAATTGTTAATTTTAAGAGAAAAAAATTGGTTACGAAATTACTGCATTTTTTTCGAAAATGTAGCTTAAAAATATGTGATTTCATTTTGCAGGTGAACGCTTTGTTCCGGGTCAAATTATTGATACAGAATTTGGGCCACGTTTTGTGCCCGGCAAAATTTCTGAAGTTGATGGCGAAGTGACATTCATTCCAGCACAAATCGTCCAAACTGATCAAGGTACATTCATAGACTCAAATCCAATATCCATTTTTTTTTATTAAATCTGAATTTTTTGTGATTCATTTGAAAATAGGTCCAAAATTTATTGCACCAGACCTTTGTGACGATGAGAATGGCGAGCGAAAATATTCGGTGCAGAGTTTCTTGTTTTCGCCCGAGGAAATGACGCTGTTGAAACCGATGCACATTTGGACGAAATCCGATCAAAATGTAGATGGAAACATGTTCAATCATTTGTCTGAAGCTGGCATAGTAGTAGGAAGCCAAATCGAGGTATCGAATGTGGACGTGAATGTTCTCTTACAAAATGCCATAAAGGGGCAGACTATAAAGAAATTTGCAGAGCATTTGGGATTCACTGATGCCAAGCAATCAAGCGGTGCTCTTGAAAGTCTCTTCGAAACAGTCAAGACGTTCGTAAAAATGATGCATCAAAATCCGCAACGTATTTTCAGTGTGGCACAACACGACAGCGTTTTGCGCAATGAGAATGGAAATTCAATGGTAAATGGAAACACCCTTGGACATGTTGTCAGCGAAAACATCGATCTGCCTTTAATTGATATAATATCAAGAACTGTAATCGATTGTCTTTTTTCATCATCAAATAGCGATACGCTGACCGATCCACAGTTACAATCTAAAAACAACACTGACCCATTGCTGTATGAAGTTATAAGCCAAGCGCTTATGAAAAATTTCAAACCATTTCTTGAGAATGCAGATTCAATCAATGGGATTACTGTTTGCTTCAACGAAATTGAAAAATTACTTTCTTCACCGGAAAGTATGGCACAAATCGAGAACAGTGTCAAGTTGTTAGCTTTGCGCGCTATCAAAATAAACAAAGTGGATATGATTAAAGCGCTTTTGATTAATGATGGAACAGACACTGAAACGGACGTTGATATTTTAGAAAGTATCCGAAGCATTATGGAAAATAAAACCGTAGATGAGCTGTTCGAATCTATACAAAATTTGATTAATGAACCGTCTTTGGTGACACAAATCATCAGTGAAGTGCAAAAGCAAATAGACAATTTTATGGATGAGATCACCGTTGCAGAGACGCTGAGAAAATGTATTGTTTCAGCTGTTCAAAATTTGACTGAGGACAAAATAAAAAAGATCACGCAAACGCACGACAAACATTCGGCAGAAAAGTTGAATACATACTTAACCGATACGTTATCGTTGGCAAGAGCTCTAGGTTTCACTGAATGCATTCTGAATTTGAGCAATATTTTGAACAGCAATGGCGATGACATTATTACTCAATTAAAAGAGGACGAGAAGACATACGAACTACTGCAACGGGTGGTTGTCATGCATAAATTGTCGGAAAGTGATGAAATGCGGGCGAAAGCAATACAATCTCTGCGAACCGATCCATATTCTTCGCGAACCAATTTAGTTTTGAGAGAGTTATTGCGATGCAGTGGAATTTGTACGATAAACTTGGCAGAAGGTAATAAACTCAAGGATTCAAATGACGTTCCGATTTCATTGATTTATTCCGGCAATCCACTGGCGATAGAAGATTTTTTTATGCACACACAATCAAAGGCGAGTGGTCCCATTCTTATTGTTAAAGATCGCTTCCAGGCAGTCGTTCCACGTGAAAAGAGCCGTGATGTGATGATGGGAAAATGTGCTTACATAGTCCTCGATGAAAATGGTATTCGCCATTTTGAACCACTTCATATGTTCACTGCTCTTAAACTGAAGAATATCAATATGTTTGAGGATCGCTTTTCTTCATACTCGGAAAATAAAACCGATGATAAAATGAAAAATGATTGTGACATTGATATCGATAGTATTTTGAATGTGGGCGCAATGGCAGCGTCGTCTAGCAACGGGTTTTTCGCATATAAATCCACCATATTGCCAAAAAAAGAAATTGACAGCCTGTATATTACACAACGACATCCTTCGTCTCACGGGCTATTTTTCAATAGAAGCCAGGTAAACTACAGGCGATCATTTTATCTTTGAATTTTTCTTTCAATTTCAATATAGTACTGTATGTCTTTATTTGCGTTAATTAGTTATAAGTGATGTAAAGTATGTATGAATTGAGAGAGGTATTGAAAAATAAAACAGTGAGTTTTCTTCATTTAATTTATCTGGCTATTTTTCTTAACATATTACCTGAAAAACTGCCATACCTGAAAGTCATTTGACAGCATCTCAACGACATTTCATTCTATTTCAGTGATCTTTCAAACACGTCTTCATCATTATAATGATGTTATTTTGAACGAAGAAAAAAAAGTTTCGCTACTCAATTTGCAAAGCTTCTATCTTTTCACACCGAAATATTTCCGTCTTTGCCGTTGCAGTGCAATTGTTCTGGCTTTCGCGTTTTGTGCAAAAACATCCGATGCGGATTTTTCGTGTAAACTAATTCTAATTAGATGTAATATGCATCAACACTGAGACTCTTCTCACGTCCACCTTAAAGCGAGTTGCGAAAACAAAAACCAGCACAGTCATTCGTTTTATTATTATCTTTTCCTGGCAGAATGCCATTTTTTATAGGCTACTAATATTTCTTTAATTTGGATAATTTCACAATAGAAAATCTCCCCAAAATTGCAGCTAAACGCTCAATTTCATTGCTATCCACATCCAGAGAGACGATGCCCTGTGAAACAACAACAAAGAAAAATGATTTATTTAATTTACGTCTAGTTTGAAAAATGAGGTTATACACCGAGAAACGGGTAATAAATCCAAAATTAAATGAATGGTCACACGCCTGAACAAATGAATTTGAATGAATAACAGGCAAAAATTCCCACCAATGCAGTATGAGTTGACACAATTTACTTGTCATAATAATAATATAAGGCAGTAAGATTCTGGCCATCTATATATATATATAAAATCATTTATACAGATTTTTCTTGTACTTCCATCTATCAAACGACTTCCGCGTATGTGTACAAATGGCGTTTGGAAAAGCCGTTCATCGATGAAAAATAGAATACATTCAAAATGTGAATTTAACCAATCAGTACATAATGCATATATTAAATACATTCAAAAAAAAATCGATAAGTTTTACTTGTATGAAAAAAAAGTGGAAACTAAACAGATGCATAAAATATGAAAGAGAAAACTTATTTTGAATGGAAAAAATTGGTATTTTCCATCAACATTATTTCTCTTTTTTTCAAATTTTTAAAAATAGCTACGTTTTGCTGAAATAAATTATTTGAAAATTGAACGGTCTGATATTTGCCATTATGTATACAAGTGTATATATTGAGTTTGTTTATGAACAATGTCCGCACATTGGGAAAAATCATCAATCAATTTCTCGATACCGACGTGCGCACAAAAATCACTCAATATGTCAGTGGCAACGGCATCATTGCCAGAACAAACAATAATCCGACAATGAATAGAAATTGTGTGCAATTCGCACTTTCACTTTCACATCATATCAACTGCTTTTAGTGGCGTAGCTGTGAATAAACCGGGGGGTCCGATCTGGTTTTTATATATTTTAGTTTTTTTTATTATCCTCTGCGCGCTGAATTGATATTGGAATAAATTTTATGCCTGTTCAGTGGCGTAACTAGAGGGGGTTTTTGGGGTTCATTTCAGTTCACTTCGCTCGCCTTTCAAATAATATTTCCTGTGGAGGAATATGAGCAACGTTCTGGGAAATTTTATCGACTATTGACCAGTCGCTAAATTTCGGACATTTCGGCTTACTAAAAATGATTATCTCGAACGAAATAGACGACGGTAGTTAACTTAAGTTACAGTTGCCTGATACTTATTCTTCAGTCAATATGTCCAAAATTGAACGACTGTTCGAGAAATGACTGATGACTATTTTCATGCAAGATTCAGAAAACCCATTTGACTATAGGTGTATTAAATCCTAGGGGAATATCACGCTTAAATTATTTCAAATATTTCAAAAAAATCCAATTTATCTCTAAGAATCTGTCGTACTCACTCAATATCAAAACGGGAAAATTCATAGTAAATTCGGCAATTCGACGAATTGGCGAACGTTTTTTGTGTTTTGGGTAAAATGTCGAACTATCAACAATGTTCCAAAAATTTTGGTAAAATTGCATTTTACCAACATTATGAATACAGTGGAACCTCGGAAATTAGAAGGTGTTTGTACTTCGGGTACTTCTAATTTCTGAATTCTTCTAATTTCGGAGGCAAATTTTTTTGCATTAATTTTACAGTCAAATGAACAAAATGACACTACAGTAACACCAGAACGAAATTCCAAAATAAAAATATAACTTTGAAACATACTTTTAACAAGATTCCAATATTTTTGATACTCTGCCTTAATAATTCTTTTCAATAATATTCCAATTAAATTAGAAGAATTATTAGACAAAACAATTCATTTATTTCGAGATGAAAGATTATAAAAACTATGGAGATGTATTTTTTTCCATAAAAAAACGAATATAAAGTAAATTTGGAGCAATCCGAATCCAAAAAACTAAATTTGTTCATTTTTGGACGAAAATCGAACATATTTCCAGAAGATTTTGAGTTCAATTTGCTTCAAATCAACCATGATTGTATATTTTAACGATGAAATGTTCCTAAAAATTTTCACTTTCAAATAGAATTCACATTAATATGTTTTGTTTCGAGATTTTGAAGCTGAGGCTCATAATTTTCGAAAAAAACCACAAATAGTGATTCAATTCAAGAAATTCCAATCGATACTTTGTTCCATTTAAAATATTTTTCGTTCGATACAATAGCTGCATTGCATTAAATAAGCATTTAAAAAAGTACCTCTGAAATTAGAAGACAATCTTCTAATTTCAGAAGCAGCAATGGAGCGGAGAATTCTCTTCTAATTTCGGAGGAATTCTAATTTCTGGATCTTCTAATTTCCGTGGTTCCACTGTATATCGTAAACACTCCGAATTGTAACATAGTCCAAATTGTAAAATATTTGCAAAAAAACGTGATAGATACGAATTTTAAATGCGACACATTATATACATATTCGGAAAAAGCACGAAAAAATCTATCTATGTAGAATAATTAAACACTGAAAATGTTTTAGTTTACATTCATTTATCCATTTTAAAAACAGCATCTAGTTTTTCACTGGTTTTGAGAGGAAAAGTGGAACTATGTTGCAATGTCACGCTTCCCAATTCATTGTTTTTTCCACT